ACATCCATCAGTTAGGCACTACTTCCCTTGTAAGTAAGTGACCAGGCACAATCGCCTGAATTATAAAAAATATCATTCAAGAGAGTAATGTCTTGGTTAGGAAAACACAGTCCTGGAATCAGACTAGGTTCAAATTGTAGCTCTTCTGCATGTGAGCTCTGGGGCCCTGAATTGGTTACTGAAGTTTACTGTGCCTCAGTTCCCCATCTGTGAATTATGGATAGGACGAGGATCTACCTAGTAAGGATGTTATGAAGACTAAATGAGTTGAGATTTGAAGTGCATTTGGAACAATACCCATAGCAAAGCATAGTAAGTATCATATAAAGTCTGTTAAATTGAACGTTTTCAAAATAGATCATGGGAGAAAAAATCACTTTCCTCTCTGCACAGAGGTTGGAAAAGGGTGCTATCATCTGTAGCTCCGTTAAGGCCTGACCAGCTCCTGGGACTTAGTCCAGGCCTTTTGCCCTGGGCCCAGAGATCCAAAGCCTCATTCACAGCAAAGCAATGAGCTTGTGAGGGGAGAGGGCGGGGAGGAAGTTCTGCAATCACATTAAAATTGTAGCAAATACAAGGAAATGATTTCAGACAGATTTGCTAATGAATTATTAACCTTAACACTTGTGACAGCGTATCTGCAGAGTAAATCATGTTGATCTAAATAATCCAGATTTGCTTACAACCAAGAAGGAAATAAGAAACTACTCTTCAGTTATAGAAAAACAGTTCCCCAGAGATCATGAAGTATTTCACAAAGATGCTAACAGATTGCTTTCCCATGGAGAAGAGAGATGGCCCAAGAGCAAGAAAGTTCACAGGGAGCCCCAAGGGACACGTGTGATCCAGACCCAAGATTGATATTCAGCTGGTTTCCCGGCTACAGCAAACCTCCCGCGGTCTGTTCTGATTGCTCCTGCCCGTGCCATATTTGCTGCTTAGTATTTTAAATACCATACTAGTAATTTTAACATCATTTCTGTTTGGGACTGTGGTTACTTGATTATGAGGCTGTTTCCATGCACTGGCAGATAATCAGTTGAGATCCAAGAGACACCAAAAGTAAAATTTGTCTTCTTTGTCAGCCTCCCTCCCTGGAGCACTGGTTGCCAGGTAACCACTCAGTTTCTGAACTTTGACCCAAGTCGGTGGCCATATCTTAACGTTTTCTTTCTTCTTTGCACAGTTCATTCAGACATGAATACATGTTTAACTGAACTTTGTAAGAAATTCAGATGAATTCGTGCCAGGTCATTTCCCTAAGCAATAAAGATATGAGAGCGTCCCTGCCTTTTAAAAAAGTACAGAGGGAAAGATACTAAACAACACACATACAAGATGGGATCATCAAGATTCAGAATTTGGGGAGCATCGAGAAGGCAGTGTGAAAAATAGAGCTGGCGCTCTTTGTAATTATGAAAGGAGAGTGATGGATGGACCAGAAAAAGCAGATCTTTAAAGTGTGGGGGTCTGAAGCAAAGAGAAAGGGCAGAAGTAGCAAAAAATAAGTCTTTGAAGAATCTTTGCTTTATGAACAGAGAGTGACACCAGGAGATGTGTTAGAGATCTAAGCAACTGTCATCTTCTCAGTCTCCCACAAGACATGTTTAGATAAGGCGAGTTTCGATAAAGGAAGTGTTTACAAGGGGAGGGTAGAGGTTAGGGAAACTCACAGGAGCACTGTGGGGACCCCTTCCTACCCCAGGCTGGAAGGAACGAGGGAATGAAGTGATGACCGGAACTTGGAGGCAGTCCAGCTCATGTAGGCCGGGTTCGATTTGACTTTATTTAAAAAACAAAAACAAACACCCATTGTTGAGACTTTTCCTGGTGGTTCAGTGGTTAAGAATCCACCTTGCAATGCTGGTGACATGGGTTCAATCCCTGGTTGGGGAACTAAGATCCCACATGCCACGGAGCAAATAGGTCCACAGGCCACATCTACAGAGCCTGTGAGTGCTACAACGAAAGATCCCGCGTGCCACAACTAAGTCCCATGCAGCAAATAAATAAATAGTAAAGGAAAAAAAATACAAACCCATCCTCTGAATTAATGTCCAATGGTAATGGGTGTATAAATACCCCAGTTCTTTCTCCCCTCAGATGGAATATTTCTGACACGTGGGTTCCCAGTGGAGCTGGGAGCTTAAATCTAGGTAGCAGGTGGCTTGGTAATGTACCCTTTAGGGACAAAAAGGGGAAACAAGGCTTATGTCCCTAGAGAGGGGAGAACACTGGGGAGGGCTGCCAGATAGGAGTGTGGCTTTGAGCAGAAGGATGCAGCCAATTTGCAGTCCCCCAGGAGTGAGGGAGCTGGGGAAATGATGATCATAATACCCCAGTCATGTGCCCCAATATTTGAATCTCTTTTCCTGGGAGCTTTCTCTGAAGCCAGAGAAGGCAGCTCTGCGAATAGAAAGGGACAAAGTGCCGGGGAATAACCATTGTTCAGGATGGTCTCCATTTCCTGGAATTCACAGCCTTGTATGTCCCCCACTCATTAAATGAGGGTTGGACTTATTGAATTACTTCTAATGATAGAATATGGCAGAAGAGATGGACATCAGTCCTAAGAGGAGGCCGTAATATGACTGTCGTGTCCAGCTTGGGAATATTCTTTCTGGCTTTCTCACTCACTCATTCTGAGGGAAGCCAGCTCATGCCGTGAGCTGCCCTGTCCGCAAGGCAGGGAACCGAGAGAAGCCCACAGTCACACGGGTGGCCTTGGAAGCACGTCCTCCCTGACTTAAGCGTTTTTTCAGACTGCAGTCCACGCTGACAGTTTGCTGCAACCTCATAAGACATCTTAAGTCAGTGGCATCCAGCTATGCTCTATCTGGATTTGTGATCCCCAGAAACTGTAATATAAGACATGTTTGTTATTGTTAAGCTGCTAAGTTTGGGGGAAATGTCATATCGAAATAGACAACTGATCTACTGTTTCTCTTCCCTACTGGCCTGCTGGTACGTTCTTCAGGTTCCAAATAAACAACGCACCCTTGAATCCTTGACTCAAGGTCTGTTTCTAGGGGCAGCCCAAACTAAACAAACACAAAGAGTCAGAGGCTGGGAGAGAGGAAGGAACTTTCCGGAAGTCCTGCTCTGGGCTCCAACATCTGATTCTGAGTCTGGTGCTTCCCCAGTGGCTCAGATGGTAAAGAATCTGCCTATAGGGACTTCCCTGGTGGTCCAGTGGGTAAGACTCTATGCTTCTGATGCAGGGGGTGGGGGGTGGTGCTGGGTTCGATCCCTGGTCTGGGAACTAGATATCACATGTTGCAAATAAGACTCATTATAGCCAAACAAATTAAAAAAAAAATTTTTAAGAAAACTAATTTATTAAAGAAAAAGAAGGATTTGTCTGTAATGCAAGAGACAGGGGTCCGATCCCTGGGGTTGGGAAGATCCCCTGGAGAAGGAAAGGGCAACCCACTCCAGTATTCTTGCCTGGGAAATCCCATGGACAGAGGAGCCTGGTGGGCTACAGTCCATGAGGTCACAAAAGAGTCAGACATGACTTAGCAACTGGACAGCAACAGCAAACTGGTGCTTATGGGACCACTTCCCACTGAGGGAGTCAGAGATGAGAAGGAGGAGCAGCAGAATGAATGCTGGACTTGAAGTCAGAGAGTCTGGCTTCAAACTGCCTTCTATGCATTCTCCAGGTGATGAAGGTATTTGATATTTCAGGGGCGATTTTCCCAGCTGAAATACTAACAACTAACTCAACAGCATGACAAGTAAATGTGCTTAAAGCCAGTGACCAGGGCTTTGGAAATACTTAGTGCAAACGCGAGACACTGTTATAGGCAAAATGACCACGGGTCCCCAAACCACTACTCATAGGACCGACCATGTGACCCCTGAGTGGTGTGGGACTCTGAAGCTACCCACTGCACTTCTGGGCCCAGTGAGCTGCTTTTCTTTGCTTGGAATGCAGAGTGCCCTTGGAGGGGAGGCGAAGCAAGCAGCAACCCAGCCCATTCCGCTCTGGCAACTCAGCCGCTCTTTCAAACAGAAGTATTGTGTCCCAAGGCCCTTTTAAAATAACCCTATTTTGAGATGTTTATATACAAACCTGGGAAAGAATGGCGGTATTATGCCCGTAACAGAAAGTGCTCATAAATAAGAAGGTGCCATTTCTCATTCATTTCCAAGGCTGCTCTGTGGGCTGCTGCCTTTGGAGCGAGGCCTGGGCGAGGTCTGACTTGCTGGATGGGCTTTTCTTGAGGTTTTTGGGGCCTTGTCCGCCAGCCTTGCTGGGGGAAGGAGCACGCCTGGAGTTCCAGGACTTTCTCTGCCGCACTGCTCATCTGCCTTGTCACTGGGGCCTGGAATCCTCCCCTAGATGGAGGATCCACTTTAGAAAAATCATTTTTTCTTTGTAATCAAGGCTTATAACATGTTTCTTAACACACACACACACACACACACACACACACATCATGGGTTGCCCTCAATTATTCTCCTCTTGATCTGCCACCAAAACATATTATCTTCAGGCACCCCGTCCAGTACCCCGCGCCCCACCATAATCACAGCTAGCATATAATAGGAAAGGCACATTGAGACAGGTGAGGAATACATACGTATGTATTTGGGGATAAATATAAATATGTGTGTGTTTTTGGATCTATATGTATGTTTTTAGATATATATGTATGTTTTTGGGTATATATATACACATTTATTGGGCTGCATCAGGTCTTAGCTGTAGCACACGGGACCTTCACTGCGTCCTGTGGGGTCTTTCATTGCGGCTCATGGACTCTAGCCCTGGCAGGTGGGCTCAGCAGTTGTGGTGTGCAGACTTAAGCTGCTCCATGACATGTGGCATCTTAGTTCCCCAACCAGGATGTGAACCTGAGTCCTCTGCATTGCAAGGTGGGCTCAACCACTGGACCACTAGAGAAGTCCAGGAATACATATGTTTTTAAGTGTGGATGATGTGCTAGGACCAGTGCTGAGAACACCTCTGTTATCTCATTTTGTCCCCACAGCATCTCCAAGAGGCAAGTACTATCATGATTTCCATTTCATAGATGAGAAAACAGAAGCTCAGGGAGATGAAGCTAGTTAACCGAAGTCACACAACTAGTAAGTGCTGGACACTTTTTTTAACACAGTTGTTACTTCATGCTATGATGGTGCCTTCCCTTGATCCAAGAGCTATAGTAAATATTACTGCAGAAACATATTTACTGCTATTAATATCACCCTACTTCTTGTTCCTCCCCCAAGATAATAGTAGCACAGGTACAGTATACTTCAGAAGGGTGATCACTGTTCAGCAAACATTCGCTTTCTATATGCTTCCCTGGGAGGCATGCAGTTCTTGGCCCTGATGTTGGGCTTGGCCATGTAATTTGATTTGGCCAGTGGAGTGTTCTTAGACATGATATGGGCCGAGGCTTGAGATGTGCTTGCGGATGTGCTGGGACCCTTCTGCTGTTCTCTCCATCTCTTGTTACCTGCAGGTTTGTGTACACACCCAAGGCCTCCTCCCTTAAGCACCTGCAATTCTTTCTGCCCCAGAGCTTCTCTGGCCCCAGGGGGGTCCTCAGCCCCCACTTGGGGCATCGACAAGTGCCAGGGAATTAATGTCTCAGGAGTGACTCTCAACTCATGAGGGATGGGAGTTGGTGGATAAAGCTCACATCAGTGGGATAATTCTCAGGTGTGTAACATGGAGTTTCCCAAAGTGCTCCCAATGGGGACCAAGTCCCAGTTGCTTTCAGAGGTGACCTGCTCATTGCTGTGTGTTTTACTGGCTTTCCTCTCTTCCCTGTCTCCTTCCCTCACTCTCTCAAAGTGCTTCTGGAATCACCTCCCAAAATAAACTACCTGCACCCATATTCTTGACTCAAAGTCTATTTTGAGGGAACCCAACCAACACAGAGGCTTAGCACAAAGCCTGGAATTTAGTAAGTACTCAGCAAGTGGTACTAACTATCAGACTATTATCACCCCTACTGCCATCCTGGCTCTGCAACATCTCTGGGGCTTCCAGGGGGTGTCCTGTCCCCTCTCTCGGTCTGGCCTAGCTTTGCAGAGCAAGAGCTCAGGCTTTGAGTTAGAAGATGGCAGGCCCTTTCCCGAGTTTGGCTTCAGCACCTGCCCATCCAGTCTCAGGGAGCTCAGCCACACTGGCAAGAGTGTATCTTTCTTGCTGGACATGACTCAGGTCTGAGAATAAGAGAATTTTACTCACTGGCTGCTTAGGTGGCTAGCCTCATTTTCCTTCTCTGTACAATGGGTGTAATTAAGAGCCCAGAGCTGTTGTCCTAGTCTGTTTGGGCTGCTGTAACAGAAGACCATAGATTGGGTGGCTTATAAATAACAGATATTTATTTCTCACAATTCTGGAGATTAGAAGTCCAAGATGAGCATTGTACCAGCATGGTCTATTTCTGGTGAAACAGAATGGTCTGTTTCTGGGTTTCCCTGCTGTATTGCAGACTGCTGACTTCTCACCATGTCCTCACCTGGTGGAAGGGCATGAGGTCTCTGGGGGAGAGGGGGGGTCTCCTTTATAAGGTCACAGATACCATTCATGAGAATTCCACCCTCATGACCACAACACCTCTCAAAGACCCCATCTAGTAATTCTGTCACACTGGGGATTAGGATGTCAACATAAGAATTTGGATGGGTGGGGAGGAGGGGAAACAAACATGCAGACCATAGCAGTCATAGAGATGACGAAAGGAGGGAATGCTCATGCAATGTTTCATCCAGTGCCTGGTACGGAAGGAGAACCCCAAACAGTGGCCGGAGACTTTCTCTAGACCAACCTGCCATTGCATGCCTCAAAGAGGCTCAGAGAATCACCTGTCACAACTTTCGAATATGCAGCCCCACCTGCCATGGGCTATAGAGGTGGGTGGAGTGGAAGGGTCTGGATAGGGCCTGACTGATAGCAAGCCTCTTTGTGAAATTTCTGGCACTGGCAGCCTCCACTGATCAAACATTTATCAGGCCCTTCTATGTTCCCAAAGCACTGTGCAGAGATGAAAATGACGCACATCTGGCCCCCCAGGAAGCTCACAGCCATGCATCAGGCGGGTAAACCCATGACAGCACATAGTAGAATATGTGTCATGTGAAGGATGTTTTCAGGACTGTGTGAGAAGCTGGTTGGGAAAGATTCAGGTGAAGTCTCTGCCCTCTCTGTGATAGCTCAATAATCACGTTGACCATGAACATTTATTGCCACTTCCTCTGAGGCAGGCAAGTGTAGAACAGTTCACATGAGTTAACTCAGTTGCTCCTATACCAACATGGACCTATAAATAGGGCTGTTATCATCATCCTCATTTTATAGATAAGAAATTGAGTCTTGGAGAGGTCATTGCTGCAGGCTCGCCCAGAGTCACACAGTTGGTAAATGGTGGTGCTGAGATTTGAACAGTCTGGATCCAGAGTCCTTACTTTTAACTGCCACTGTCTGCCCCAACCTGGACTCACAGGGGACCTATCATCTGGGTCCTCTGTACTTCCAGGGGTCCCTCTGGGGAATTTGTGTGCAATTTCAGTTAATGATGCTTTGGTTAATTTTAGTCCCTTAGGCTCCTTCCTGGGCCCTGATAAGTTGCAAGTTCTGAGTTTGGTTTGGATTTGCTGGGAAACTTGGGTCTGTCAAATGAGTGAGCATGACTGGACATCCGCTCTGTCCTGATTCCCTGTGGGGCCCCATCCTAGCGTCTAAGTGTGCAGAATCAATCATGGTTTCCAAGACATGACTGGTCACCTGGCATTTTCCATCCTGCAGATGGAGGGTTCTGAAGGTTCCCAGGGTCACCGACTCTGGTAGATCCTGTTCTGGTGCCCTGACGCGATCCCTTTTCTTGCCACCCCTCAGCTGCTGTGAGGCCAGTGGCTAGCTACTCACAGCTGCTCCCTTCTTAGGGTTGTCATATTTAGCAAATCAAAATATTCATTTTTATCTGGCAGCCCCTGATCATTAACTTACAGGAGTTTCCATATTTTTCTACTTGTAATCCCCTAGTGGGATTAACTACTTAATCACCTCTTTTGTCCCTTCATTCTGTTCCTATCACCTTTGCTCTGTAACTCACAAGATACTGAATTCTTGCTCAAGCTCTCTTCTGGAGAACCCAGATCCTCTTGAGAACATGATAAAAACCCTAGACTGTCTCCGTACAACACAGATGAACCTAATCACCGACACTGGCAGCGTTTTTGGAACTGACCTTGAAGAGTCCCTCTCACTTCCTCCTGTGTTTCTCAGACCTTGTCTGCCTCACCCTTTCAGAGTTGAGGGCCAGTGACGGGCAGCACCCACCGATCAAATACACTCAGGGCTAGGAGAATGGAGCTCCACTTCTTGAGAGGAGGAGCATCACAGAATTTGTGGACTTATCTTTAAAATCCCTCAGCCACTTAGTTTCAGTTTTACCTTTATTCATGTGATTACTTGATTAATATCTGTCTGGGCTGCCCTAGTAAAGAAAAAATATCTTTTTTTCCCTTTTTCTCACCATTATATCCCAGTACCTAATACATAGTTAGCACTGCATAAAAACTTATTTAATAAGTGACAAACTTATTTATTAATGTTTGTATAGTTCAAGAAACATCTTTGGCAAAGAAGTCATGATCAAATTTTAGTGGCGTGACACCAAAGTTTGGGGTATACGTGACAATCCTTGCAACTGCCCTTTCAGTTCCACTTGGAGGGTGAGGTATAGAGTATGGAGATTTTTTTCCTTCATCCATTTTGCAAATGTTTATTGAGCACTTTTTTTTTCCATTTATTTTTATTAGTTGGAGGCTAATTACTTTACATCATTGCAGTGGTTTTTGTCATACATTGAAATGAATTAGCCATGGATTTACATGTATTCCCCATCCCGGTCCTCCCTCCCACCTCCCTCTCCACCCGATCCCTCTGGGTCTTCCCAGTGCACCAGGCCCGAGCACTTGTCTCATGCACCCAACCTGGGCTGGTGATCTGTTTCACCCTAGATAATATACATGTTTCAATGCTGTTCTCTTGAAACATCCCACCCTCTTGAGCACTTATTGTATGAGAGAAAGAGTTATAGATACTGAGGATATAGAGATTAATAGGATGCACCATGGCTTTATAAATTGAGATGTCTACATGCTAATATATAGAGCAGCCCAAAGGTTTCTGAATAATCTTCACATATGAAAGACAATAGGCACTTGTATTAGAAACAGATCCCTTGATACTGAGTTTGCTGAAGATGTTTTATCAGCCCAGCATGTCCAACGTGAAGCAGAGTATTTACATTTAATTTCAAAGTGGTTGTGCCAACCTCGGTCCTCTGGTCTTCACACTTTGGGTCACTGTTTGCAAATGTATAAAAGGTTTTGTCAAAGGAGCCGGATAAAGATGGAAAGAGAATGACGTTATGTGCGATTAGTGGGGATCGCAGAGTGGTTGATGCCGAGAAATCGTCAGCTCGGGTCACGGCGGGTGCTCATGGAGAGCGAGGATAATGTGAAGAAATGGAATGGGAAGAAAGAAAATAGCAGCAATAAAGGCATTGGCCAAGGTGAATGCAGTGTGGTAGGAGGGCTGGTGTGCGGCCCAGGAGACCTCAGTTCTGGTCCCTGCTCTGCTGTGGAGAGCCCCATTCTGCCTTTCCTGGGCCTCTTGCTTGTAAGGGGTATGCGTTGGATCAGACCAGAGGTCTTAAAGCTTTTTTTTGGTTAGCGTATCTCTACTATAGCATTTTAACCCTGCACCCAGGTGTATGTAGAACAGGTAAGATTTAAGCCTCTCTACTTAGAGGAGTAAGAGTAGGGGGCTATACCCATGCTGTTGGTACCTTTTCCATACTCTCTTGCCCTTAAATTTTCAGTTCATTCCACTGAATTGCAATGGCCAGCCTGTGTTTTTTTTGGTTTTTTTGGCCCAGGGGCTTTCTCTAGCTTCCAGCATCCATTTTTCTACCTACATGGCAGGCTGGAAGTCCTGGGGAATTAACATTCCCCACAAGCAGCACTCGACCAGTGACTGATGGGAGTCGGGGTATTTATACCCTGAGGTGGGCCATCCTGAGGCATAGGATGTAGACTGGCTCCTAGGGTTCTCGAGAAGCCAC